TGGGGTACTGGATCGCGAGATACAGCTAACGGCTACAAAACGGCTAGCCGAAAATGACCGACCGTTGCCATCCCTAGTTTAGGAGTAATTATGTCAGAAATTTCAACAGGAAAACCGCCCTTTAATAACACACCACACAACATTCTTCGACATTATGTAATAGATGACGGATTACGGCCAGAATTTGCAGCTGGAACACCGGATTGCTATATACAACTTGCAAATCAATGTATGGACAAGGATCCATTAAAGCGACCAACTGCTAAAGAGGTTTACAAAAAATTTCAAGAATGGAAAATAATTCTTAATAAATCAATTGAAGAATTGGACCAAAACCAAACTAAAATACAAAATAAATTTTTAAATGCAGATGAAATAATTCCTACAATAAGACCAACACAGAAACAGCATCAAGATTAGAGATGGGTTTCATGCGCATTCTATCCCATCAAGATTTCTCTCCTCTCGATCGTTTTTTCTTTTTTTTGCCTTTTTTTATCATGCGATATAATGCGCATTCATGCGCATGTTATTTTAAAATGCGCATTTTTCCCATCATTAATCAAGATATTAAATATTCCTCTCAATTTATTAATATTTCGGGTAAATATAACATAAGCATTGCGAATTTTAATATAATTTAATTATAATAGATAATTTAAAGAATAATATTGAATTTAAGAAATAAATTGATAAGATTGAGTTTAATCAAACTTATAATAATTTTTAATTTTTTGGACTAAAAAATTAGTTTATATTATAGTAATGATAGATCTATGGTATACCCAGGATCGTTAAGAAAGTTTCATATTCAAGTGAAACAAAGATTCTTTATATAGATATAAGGTTAGGGTTTATATTAGTATTAGAAATAAGTGCTTTATTTACTGAATCTAAGTGGTGTGAAAGCCTTTAAGTCAAATTGTACGAAATTTAAGAAATTATATTTAATAATTTAATTTTCATCTAAGTGTAAATTTCACATGACATTAATTACTAGTATTATTGAACTACAAACTACAACATTTTCCCATCATGTAATATACAAAAAAATTTTTAAGTTCGTTTATCTTAGGGTAAGGGTCTATGTTAGGGTTATAATTTAGGAATTACACTAGCAAAACCGTTCAAAAAAAACCCTTTGTTAATGCGCAGAAGGCGGTTTCTAAATAGATTTAGTATTTTGACAAAACAAACGTTTGTTTTGATCGCGTAACGTTACACCTAATTGAGATTCGTTGTTGGCTTATTTCCGTAGATCCATTGGTATATTACAGTATTATACACATAGTGTGAGCTGTGGAGACGTGTCCCGGAAGCACGTGAAAGGAGGTGATCGAGGTGGCGCAGTAACAATTAACGGCCCGGGATTATCGCTCCTAAAAGTCGTTTACATCTAATAAGGGCCATAAGTGAAATAAATGCAAACGATGATTAACGGGTTATATAAGAAATACGGGCTTTAAGTAAAAAGGGACACTGCAGGGGTATATGAGGGATAATAGGGATAATATGTTTAATAGGTTTAATAAGTTTAATACCTTAAAGAACGCATATGTAATAGAACAATATACAGTGGCAATCATAAATAATGGAGCAAAAAAAAAAAATGGTTCAATTGTATTATTTCGCGCAATTTGGGTTGAATTCTCGATTTTTTTTTTTTATTAAATTCGCAAATAGTATCATTTTCACTAATAAAATTAAAAAAAAAAAAATGAACTGAATTTTTTATGGGTACGAGCTTTATTTAAATTGACGTGCTGCATTATTTTTGCTCATTTTTTACAGCAGCACCACTGCAAAATACAAAAAAAAAAATTTGTATCAAAAATCAAAAAAAAATTTTTTATTTTAATTGATTTCCACCTTTACCATTGGGTATAACCACTCCGAGTTCTAATTACATTATGAATATGTGTTGGCATTTATTTAATTAGGTCTGTGCAGGTTTCAAGATCGATTTCCTGTCAAACCTTCTGGATCTTTTCCCAAAGGTTTTGTTTACTTGAAATTTGACCAGGAAGATTCCTAAGACGTCGGTTTACCTCAATCCACAAGTGTTCGATAGGGTTAAGGTCGGGTGATTGGGGAGGCCAATCAAATAACTTAACTTTATTTCTTCTAAGCAGACATTTGGTCAAAGTCGGTGTATGTACAGTTGCATCATCTTGTTGAAAAATAATATCCTTAATATCAAAACCGTGATCTCTAACAGTTCTTAAAAAATCTTCATGAAGTATTTGTTGGTATAATTCAGCATTCATTGTGCCATCGATTTTGCAAAAGCCACCAATGCCACAAGAGGTAAAACAGGCCCAAATCATAACTGAACCACCTCTATACTTTATTGTAGGTTTAATATGGAACCAATTTAACAGCTCCTCGGGACACTTCCAATAGTACTGCTTTCCATTTGACCTAAAAATTTGAAACTTTGACTCATCGGACCAAATTACCTTTGATCAGTCTTTGACGGTCCAATTTTTATATTTTTTTGCAAATTCGTACTACTTTTTTTGACAAGATTTACTAAGGTAAGATTTTTTTCTCTTAACCCCCAACACTAAACTATGGCTATGAAGTATATGATGAATAGTAGCCTCAGAAATTTCAAGGTTTTTGTTTGCTTTCAAGTAGGATCGCACTTGCACAGCATTAGAGCACTGACGGGAGGTAACTAAATTTATAATCCTTTTTTGGGTTGGTTCACCCACTTTTGGTGGGTGACCAACCCTTCCAAAATCTTCAAGCATGTGGTGTTTTGATCACTTTTGACTTATTTATGAGACCATGGAAGAAGAAACATTATGGGCCCGACCTATCTGCCTTGTAGTGTATCCTTTCTGAAGCGAAAGTAATATATAGGCTCTTTGAACGAGAGTCATATGCCTCTTTTTTTTTTTTGTTTGATTATTATTCAATTCTGACATTGCACAAGATGCAATAATTAACAATGAAATTTCCTTTTATATGTATTTACATTTCACAGATCACGTGTTTTGATCTTTGTCAAAAACGATCAAAAATAATGCATCACCTATTTTGTGATACATGCGCAATTATCTTTGCATTGGGAATAATGACCATTCCTAACATTCTAACATTGAAAAAGAATACCATTTACGAATATAATAAAAAAAAAATCGAGAATTCAACCCGAATTGCGCGAAATAATACGATCGAACCATTTATTTTTTTTTGCTCCATTATTTATGATTGCCACTGTACTGTATAATAAAGGCTTCGAACCCTACAAGAAGAGTTCAGTAGTGCTTATCATAAATTTCGCCCCTAATAATTCTCTGTTTCATTGTATTATAAAACCAACGATCATAAATACACCACTCGCCAAATCTAGCCGCCTCTTATCGACTAAGCCGTTCGTAGGTTACACGACATACCCATTTGTCAAGCGACTGACTCGCCGTTTCGCTCGTGTCAATAGGTATAAGTATAATACCAATAATAGAAACTGGTTAGTCAATTTAATTGCTTTATCTGCATTCCGAAAACTTCCCTTAGAATAATTCCGATTCATATTAAGCTGAGAGCATAACGATAATGGTGGTTATACCATGCTATACGGTATTATACGGACTATTTTTATTATGCCGGTATAATCGCATGTGATTTACTCATGTGATTTACAATCACATTATACATACAGCAGAGACCGTTAATGTTACACATATATTAAAACTGGTGAGGGATTATATCCATCGCAATTGAATCCAACATAAATAATTTGATCACAGGCGAGAGGGATTCACTTTGGATCGGGCACTGTCTCTGCTGTACATTATACACGTACCAAATCGCCCAAATTTTCGGCTCCCGGCTCAACTGGTCCTTAGATTTTAAATCCAAAAATTGGACCTTTATTAGATTCGATTGTTAGATAACGAACCTCAGTTTAAAATATAAAGTAACGGACTTTTTTAAAAAAATAAAAACTAAAATTCAAAAAAATAATAATGAAAGAACAAGAATTTTTCCTTTATGTATTTATAATAAATGTAATCTTAACAGCAACTGCAATTATAATATTTCAACTTTAAATTGTAATACTTAAGGCGTAGTAAAATAAAATTGGTTAAGGAAACTTTTTGTTAATACACAAAAGATAGAAATCTCATTATACCTGTGACCCGAAACAAAAAAAGCCTAATCAGAAATAGATTCAGAAAACATTAACTCAAAAATATTATATCTCGAAACTTAAGTTTTCGAAAAACCGAACTCTTCGAAAAAGAAAAAAAGGTTAGGTTACAAGTAGGGATGGAATCAGCTACGGCTATAGCCGGCTGTAGCCGGCTATAGCCGTAGCCGATATTAACCGACCGAGCGGCTTAGCCGACCGGCTAGCCGATGACAGATTTTTAATTTCCTGGTTGATAATAATAATAATAATTGTATAATTCAGTATGCAA